GGAAACTATTTAACTTAAATTTATAGATAACACTTAACTTCTGTTAAGATGTTTTCATGATATTCTTGTCAAATTGTTATAACTAAATCTGTCTATTAAAGTGAACAGGTGTAATAATTGAGCACCCTGGTATATAATATCTGATAGGGGGAGGGGGGGTATTTTGCAATAGGTCTACTTCTCACTTCTCACCACTAACCCTCACTCACACTACACTTTTCACTACTTTTCATCACTTCTCACTACACTTCTCACTACTTCTCCTCACTTCTCACTGCACTTCTCATTTCATCCCTTCACACTACACTTCTCATTTCATCACTTCTCATGACACTTCTCATCACTTCACTACACTTCTCATCACTTCTCAATACACTTCTCACTACTTCTCAATACACTTCTCATCACTTCTCATTACACTTCTCATCACTTCTCACTACACTTCTCATGACACTTCTCATCACTTCACTACACTTCTCATCACTTCTCACTACTTCTCATCACTTCTCAATACACTTCTCACTGACTTCTCAATACACTTCTCACTTGACTTCTCACTTCTCATACACTTCTCATCACTTCTCACTTGACTTCTCACTTCTCACATTTTACTTCTCACTTCTCACTTTTTCACATCTCATTTCTCACTTTTCACTTCTCACTTCTCATGGTTCTCACTTCTCACTTCTCTTTATACCCCCCTCCCCCTTATGGGGGATTATACTATTATCGTTGTAATCTTAGTATATATCTTAGTATACATAGTGAATTTATATTATAATTTACATTAGTCCTGTGATATCGCTCGTATAGTAGATCTATATATATACCTACCGTAGTACAATTAAATAACATGCCTGCATAACTCGTATGAAATATTTTCAACTACAACAATTCGTCCCCCCGTCCAGACCGTTCCAACGGCGGCCATATTGACTACAAATATATTTGTATTTGTATATTTGTATGTGTTTTATATGTAATCCATTGTATACGACGCCGTTCAGACGGTACTATCGGCGGCCTAAGTGATCTGTCGAATGAATAGTAATATACAAGATAAGTTATATTATAGAGATATACATAGAGGTAAATATACGCTTGTGAGTGAGTCCAATGGGTCTAAAATACCTTATATATATGGTTTTTTAGACATAGATAACGGAAATCCCGCATGATCACAAGTCATTAATATGTTTTGGGACCCTTGGGGGTAACAAAACCACATATTGTACCTAACCCATTTACAAATATCCTCTATAATATGATTCCTGGAAGATGCCTCTAAATGATGTACCAGCCCAGGAAAAGATATTTTTTCCAAAGTTTGAAACCTATTTCTGTTTTGACCATATAAGTTCGTGATAAGGTCTCACACATAACAGTTAACTACTCACCTGTTGCTCTGTTGATTTCTCGCTCGTAGCGAGCCAATAAGGAGGGTGAGTTGCATCTAAGGCAATGTTCAATGTTTGTTTATATGATCATACGGTAAGTTCGTCTTCCATCTCGGTTGGTTCAATGTCACTTATGTTCCTCTTACAAATAGCTCTTACACTGCGGTGGTATCGTCAATACTCCGAGTTAAGGATGTTAATTCCCATGTGTTTTATGCCTGATCTTACAGCATAGGGATGTCGGCTCATTGAATAGTCGTATATCAGCATCACGAGACGTAGGGACAAGCCACTGCTCGATGCATTAACTTTTCAGAATGGGAGGGCATCATGTCAACAAGTCTAGCGATTGCTATCCCTCCAACGTCGTGCGCTTGCCATTATGATGTTCATAGTGGTGTGGTAGCATACCATCATCGTGTACGTGTGGGCTTTTCTAGTCGAGTTTCTACGTTGATCGTCCGCCGGGCAAGCACAGCTTCAAAGGGCTCGTGAACTTCAGCCCATCAGAGTAAGTTGTTCCCTGACAGTATTTGATATACGGCTGACACGTGTTCCAGGAGCGTTATTCACAACTCATGGTAGTTCTGCATCTATGCGGAAGACGAACCTATGCTATGGACAACAGTCCCTGTGCTTAGCAAGTTTGGATGGTGATTGCACACCATGATACTTTCAACATTGTATTATTTGTGAGTAGCGACAAATACCAGGTTATCGTATTTCAGGCTACTTCTGCTAACAAGTTACAACCCTCGAGGCCTCGACGTTTCAACGTTCAACCGTTAGGCCAAAAGGCAGTGATAATCGAGGCTCAACTTTGATTATCTCGCGATGATTGTGGGAACTCACCGGACTTACATACTGCCAGCACTTATCATTTCTCCTCAGGTTTTACCGTGAGATTAGCTTGATGTGCTCTTGGAACCCGCAAGTAAATTTTGTCACCTTAAAGGCAGCAGAGATCGCGGGATCTGGTTCTTCCTCTCTTGATGCGCAACACTCTCTATAGAACGATTCCACCTTGTCCAAATTCCACCAATCTTCCGTTTCGTTCGGACCAATAGAGTTGCCTCTGACAACTCTCCTGCGTCTCTCCGGCGTCTCCGCCTCTCTCTCTTCGATTGCCCGTTTCTCATCTTTGAGGTTCGGTGTTGACGGAGGGTTGGTAGAGGATATAGGGTAAACCGTGACAAGTTGGGGAAGTATAAAATGGGCACGCTTGAGAGGTTTGATGTCGTCGCTAGCACAAGCGAGAGATTGTGTTGGAAGATGCTCGATCTCAGTGCGGTGTACTCTGCATGAAAATTTTATTTTATTCCTAATGAGAAGCATTATACAACAAAATCATATATCAACGTGTATGTATTCCCCATAAAGATATAACAATAAAGGTCATATAACAAAATCGATGTTCAAAGTACATACATAGCGATCGATAGCGCCATAACGCCCTCTATTATAAAGCTGAAAAGTAATAAGTCGTGCTGAATAACAGCGCAGAAAGATAACAAGGTACCTCTATCAGACAAATGACATGGTTAGGGGTCGTTTCTCGATCACCCTATAGAGCCCCGTCAGGACCATCGGGACCATCAGGCTTGTCAGGACCGCCCGAGTGAAGGCGCGTATGATCAGGACCCCCGAAGCGTTTGTCTGGAAGGTTAGGTGTGCTAGGGCCGTTTGAGTCGAGCTTCATGCGCTTGTTTGGCAACTCAGGTTTGCTGGGGCCGTTTGAGTCGAGCTCCGTACGCTTGTTTGGCAACTCAGGTTTGCTGGGGCCGTTTGAGTCGAGCTTCATGCGCTTGTTTGGCAACTCAGGTTTGCTGGGGCCGTTTGAGTCAAGCTCCGTACGCTTGTTTGGCAACTCAGGTTTGCTAGGGCCATTGGAGTCGAGTTCCGTGCGCTTGTTCGGCATCTCAGGTTTGCTAGGGCCATTGGAATCGAGTTCCGTGCGCTTGTTTGGCAACTCAGGTTTGCTAGGGCCATTGGAGTCGAGTTCTGTGCGCTTGTTTGGCAACTCAGGTTTGCTAGGGCCATTGGAGTCGAGCTGCGCGCGTGTGTTTGGTGATTCAGGTTCGTGGAGGCCATTGGAGTCGAACTCAGGTTTGTTAGGACCATTAGAGTCGAGCTTCAACTTCATGCGCTTGTTTGGCAAGTCAGGTCTGCTAGGACCGTTGGAGTCACGCTCTCCGCGCTTGTCAGGCCCGTCGGGTGAGTTGGGAGAACTGGGAGAGCTGGGAGAGCTGAGAGAGTTAGAAGACCCGAGAGAGTCGGGAGAGCTGAGAGAACTGAGGTGGCTTATGTCCCTAGTCATCGGCGAATCGGGCGTGTCAGGACCGTTGGAATCCAGCTCTACACGCTTGTCAAGTGAGTCCACATCGCGCGAGTCTGGTGTGCTAGGAGAGCCGGGAGAGCTGGGAGAGCTCTGGTCGGGCAAGCCCATGTCCCTAGTCTTAGGCGCACCGGGTGTGCCAGGACCGTTGGAGTAAAGCTCCTCACGCTTGCTAGACTCATTACCCCCTGTAGGTAGGGTAGGTGTAGTAGGACACGTGGTCGTGTTGGAGTCAAGCTCCTCGCGCTTGCTAGACTCGTCGCCCCCTGCAGGTAGGGTGGGTGCGGTAGGACACGTGGTTGTGTTGGAATCACGCTTGCTAGACTCGTCACCCCCTGTTAGTGCGGGAGAGCAAGTGGCTGTGTTATCAAGCTCCCCGCGCTTGCTGGACTCGTCACCCCCTGTAGGTGCGGTAGGACAAGTGGTTGTGTTGGAGCCAACCTCTTCGCGCTTGCTAGACTCGTCACCCCCTGTTGGTGCGGGAGAGCAGGTGGTTGTGTTATCAAGCTCCCCGCGCTTGCTAGACTCGTCACCCCCCGTAGGCGCAGTAGGACAGGTGGTTGTGTTGGAGCCAACCTCCTCGCGCTTGCTGGACTGATCGGGCGTTGTAGGTGCTGTAGGTGCGGGAGGACATGTGGTAGTGTTGTCAAGCTCCGCGCGCTTGCTAGACGAATTAGGATCTGTAGGTAGGGTAGGGTAGGTACAAGCAGTGTTGTCAAGCCCCGCGCGCTTGTTAGGCGTGTTGGGCGAGTCGGGCGCACCAGGAGCGCTGGGAGGGCTGAGGTCCCTTGAGTCCGGCCCATTGCTACTGATAGGAAAGTTGGAGTCAAGCTCCGCGCGCTTGTCAGCTGTGTTAGGTGAGTCGGGTGCGCCTGGAGGGCTGAGGTCCCTAGACCCTGGCGTATTACTACTGATAGGAAAATTGGAGTCAAGCTCGGCGCGCTTCTTGGGCAAGTTGGGTGAGTCGGGCGCGCCGGGAGCACTGGGAGGGCTGAAGTCCCTAGATTCAGGCCCATTGCTGCTGATAGGAAAGTTGGAGTCAAGTTCTGCGTGCTTGTGAACTCCGTTGGGCGAATCAGAGGCAGGGTTGGGCGTGATGTGTGGGGTGAGTGGGCCAGGAGAGCCGACAGCCCTAGTGTTTTGGTAGACATCGAGGTTAGAGTCAAGCACTTCGTGCCTAGCCAACGCTACATAGCATAGCATATCAGCATCGATCTTACTAACTTGAGTGACACATGAATCCTTACATCTCATCAATAAATGTGGTGCTGGATACGCTGCAGCAATAACAACAAAGGCCATAAGTGTCGTGAAAGCATGTGAGAGCTGCATATTGAGATCGAGAGGAGTGACCAGTATCGATGTCGAATCCCGTCAGAGTCACGAGAACTTTTATACTCCTCCGAACCACCTGACGAAAACAGTAGTACTTCGATCCAAACAGTTTTATTCAAAGAAAGACGATATGCAACTCGCTTGCCACAAACAAAGGACGTCACCATCGTAAGAACGGAGGTCAGGATAATCTCATGTCTGGCTGGTACGAACCTCAAGTTGCTTCCCATGCTGTAACAATTCTTTCTATGCCCTCATGGAATGACTCAACCTAATCAAATATCGTGCAAGCGGATCAGCATATAGAATGTAGTAGGTGCCTGGTACTTACGAGGAAAGCATGTTATGCCTCATCACGGCTCACTTACAAGGTGCCCCTAGAATCATATCGGGGTCCATTTCTAAGTGGTGCCATCACTAGTAGCCGGCATGGCATGTTTTATGCAACAGGCTCTCTGACTGAACAATTCTGCTTCTATGAGTTGATTCAAGTCGAAATATATCTCGTCAGAGCGCATCTGGTACAAAGAATTCGGCTAGAACGACGTTAAGTAGCGTATGCTTGGTACGGAAGCCGAGGACTTGCCATCCCAGTATAAGCTTGCACCCTCCTGCATCCCCTCGCATACATTGCCTCCAAAGAAATTCCACGCACACAAAGAGGCCTTGCCAGCAGTATAAATCGGGACTGTGATTGTCAGCGGTCATATGAACCCTGTTACGAAGTGCGATGAATGGTTGAATTGTCAACTGCAAACTCTAGAACGGAAGCTGGAAGTAGAATGTCGATAGTCAAACGCCTTACAGCACCTGAACTGATTGGAAAATTCGACCTTCTCTAAGGTTAGCCTATAATGGTGGTTGACGGGTGGCGAACTATTGGTGGAAAAATCGATGACTGAGCTCGAGCAACCTATGATAATGTTCGCATGAGCGTAAACTTCATGTCGCATACATAATTCGGTTGACATACGTCGCATCATGGTCTCGTCATGTTCAACTCGGCATACCATGTCGCCGGAGGTGATAAAAACATGATTGGGTGGCCGCGGTGAGATCAAAAATATCGGATTCGCAAACCACTCTCGTTATGTTCGAGCTCGAAGGTAACTAGTACTTGTACCGACTTCGTTTGTGTAGCTGAAGATGTAAGGAATTAAGTTCACAGAATAACGCTACAGTTTGTGCTCTGACCTGTTTCCGTTATTTTGTTAACGCAGTTAACGCTTGAATTAAGAATCTTCCAAGGCCCGGGACGCCACACTGCATTTCATATGATGTGAAAACAACCGCTACGACTCCAGAATGCTGCAACATGCGACACCAAATGCGTATCCTAGGCCGAAGATACTGGAAAGATCAGATGTTAGAAGGTAGGACACAAGCATGAATGTTCTACAAGGGCTTCGATGACGAGACGTGTTTGATAAGCGTAGAGAGATGACCATGAAGTTAATCATGCCAAAACCATTGACCTGATCCTGGGAGAAGAGACGCAAAGATATTAGCTGCCGTCTCTGTAATTTCGCCAATCCAAGACGCGATTTGAGGTCCTGATGCGGTTGACACAATTGACGGTGTCAAGGATTCGTTCAGCATCGGGAATCGAAGTAAACCGACGTCATAATAATTTTGTAATGTTGGTTGAAATAATGACGTTTCCGCGGTAAAGTGGATTCTTTCTGCAGCAAGTGTCAGAATGAATTTGTAATCAACTTCAGCCGAATAGAGTTTTCTTTGATTCTTCCATCGCGTCGTGAGTGTTACAATCCTTATAGTGCGTTAGATCCTGAAAGCGTTGTCCATGGTTTGCGTTATAAATGACAGTTGGAAGCTGCAGCGCTGAATCCGTGTCAGTAAGTACTACTAGTACATCATGGTCACCATCTGATCATATCTCTTCATGACCAGCGATAGTCACAGCACGGAATGTCGTTACAATTAATGATGACATTAATTGGAATCGATGGAAGAACTGCCGGTGAATCCAGATTATTACAATAGGTGTGGTTCAATTTTGCAGTAGAAAAACTCAGCTCGTTCATGCAACCGGCATGTGATGCAGTTTCTGCTGACTCGGATTCTCACCCCATTGCGATGTCCAGATCTGTTTCGATGATATTGAATCAACTGAAGGTGAATATCATGATGACCTTTATTCCAGCATATTAATGTTTCCGGGTCATATGTTCTCTGATAATGACTAGCTTACGCCACTGACGAAGATCATCACTCACGAGCTGGCACATACTATCATTCGACGGGAAATGCACAATTTACACTTATTGCTGAATAGCAACACAACAACAACACATATTCGTATCGGATCTACTGTAGTGTATACTTTAGGTCTCTGTGCATTAGGCCCAACAAGAATTTTTTAATTTTGTTGCGAGCTTGTTGCAGCGGCAGCACTGGAAGTTGAGGTGTCGAAAACACAATAGAAATGCACAATTTCGTCACACTATGTCACGCGCGGCACCTCGGCCAATACACAATGATATTCACAGTCCGACAGCGTGCAAAGCGAATGAAAGTCCAGTGTTCCGCACCGTTCATAACTTCAAGCTTCAATAACGAGCTCCAAATCAAATTTCATTGAGGGAATAATATCTAGTAATAAACACTAGGATGTGCTGAGTGATCATTATTTGCTGAAACTCTATTTAATGGTGCAGGAAGGCTTTTAGTTTCACCCCCACGCCATGTATCGATTGCATCCTTGATACGTTTTTCACGATCCTCGCGTGTGAGAGGAGGTTGTGAATGTGGTGAAGGGCGGTTGCGAAAAACTCGAGCTGTCCTTGGCATTGGTCGACTGTCCTTGTAATGTAACAATGTCCTCTGGTGTCTTCAAAGGAACAGATGCTGGTATGTGCCGATTCTGCCGAATGCAAAGAAAGCGGAGACTCAACCAAGCCGAGAGTGTGATTTCCCAATCTAGCCTGACCGTCACGCTTTGCTCATGAATCGCGAATAGCATGCTGTGGTGGTGTCCTATTGACATAGAAACACCTGGAGTAGATTCAGGATGGTGCATTTCACATATTTTGAACTTTCTGTGTTGATAGGTTAATGGGATCTGGGTGGATCTTGGATTTAGTGTCCAAAAATCACTCATTTTGGGCACACTCGCACAATGTTTCATCTCGGGAAGGCTTCACAGCACCGATTTTAAAATTTTGAATTGGTAGTATTATTGAATGTATGCTAATAATTGTCCACCAGCTGTTCCGAATGAAATATATGTAGAGTGGTGAGCTCTGGAGTGCATTGTGCATTATCCATCGATTGTGCATTCCGAATCAGGTGATAGTAACGCAACCAAGAACTTCAAGGTTGACGTTATCTACCGACACGACTATAAGTCTCGGATCAGAATGCAACTAATTTCCGAGTGGCCCGGTCGCAGAAGATCACTACAATGTATGCGAACTCGTCGCGTACAAATGCATCTCATCAATCCTCTTCCAGGCTAGGAACTCGAATAAGGGCATGCCTTCGACTGGTGCTCGCCCAAAATGGTGCAGACTCACGACATCAAGCATTCAGTTATCGTTTCAAAATGAGGGAATCAGTTCGTGTATCTTCTTCGACTTCAACTCGCATCGTTGTTTATATCTCGTACGCTGTCACTCAGAGAAGTCTTGTATTTTGTTGCCTTGCACGACAACGATTGGCCATGATCAGCTATGTTCAAGTTGACATGCCACTTTGATACGCCCTCGTTTATCTGTCAAATGATTAAAATTATGTCGCTGATTTATCCATCCTCGATTTCTTTCCGCCAAAAATGCATGCCAAATTTATGAATCTTACAGCCCTAAGCGAACAAAACAGTAAGCTGAGCAGAAAGACCTTGAAATGCGATTAGCCTCCTATAACGGTCATCAAAAGCTTGGAGATCTAGATCACATTTTTATTTCGTGTAGGGGAAGCATTTGAGTAGGCGCAGATCCATGATGGACACGAGGCAGGGAGTGTTGCCTCATGGGTTACAATGCGAAATCATCGCCTGGTTAATTAACTAGTTAGTAGTTTGTAATACTTTGTATCAAGTTGGGCAGCGAAGCTCGGTGACATTATGAAAGCCGGTCGGATCCGGCCTGGACTTGGTCAAGTCTACTCGTGGCAACAGCGTGCGGGATGCGCATGCCAGCGTCAAGTTGCACTTACACACAGGTTTCAAATCGCCGTGTCCACTCCCCAGCGCTATCTACCCCAGTGACCTAGTCTCTCACTTGATTTTGAGAAGAGGTTCCATCATCGCCTCTGAACCGTTCGTGTCATCCTAAAGATGTTCATGAGGGGCCCATCATCCGCCACACTCTTCTTTGCCTGCTTCTTTGTATCTGTAGACAGTCGAGCCCATGATGCAGCCATACTCAGCAGACGAACAGTCCCGGAAATTGGCGGTTCACAAGGAGGTATGTAGTTTCCCCTCCCCTGCCTCTCTCCAACATATGATTGCACGAGTAATATCTCAAATATTAATCCCCAACAGGTTTCATCGGGCTCGTCGTCGCTTTGAGTGTGCTCATCCTTATCTGCTGTATCGCAGTCTTCTTCCTCCTCCGCAACCATGAACCCTCCGAACAAGATCGCATTTCCCGCCGTGAGCGCTACCGCCGTAACCGCGACAACCAAGAAAACGATTCAACAGCGGGACGCAGCTTCTTTGGGGACAAGCTGCGCGGGATGTGGCCAGATAAATGGAGTAGTAGGAGCAGGAGCGGCGGACGACGAGGTGGGCGTGGCTGGATCCAAGCTGGCTCAGGTGATGAATGGGAGATTAATTCAGATCACGGTGAAGAACATAGGGCACAGCAGCCCATGCAGCCCTTTTCCAGGTCTTTTCAAGAGGGACCTTACAGCCCCCAGGCCCCAGAAATGGACTCACCGCTGTCAGATGCGGAGTCGTATGCACCTATGCATTATGGGGATCCGTATGCAAAGGGCCCACTGCATGTGACATCGCCACAGCGGGTGACGTTTGCACGGTCGCAGTCGCCGCTCTCGCAATCAAGCTCGCCTATGTCCCGTGGATCACATCGAGATGCAAGCATGGACGACGAAGAGGTGCGCCCGCCCGACCACCGACATTTTTCTACACAATCATCGACATCAGTGCGGACTTTTGAAGGAGGCACAAAATTTATCGAGTCGTTCTAGCTTGTGATAGTATTTGTGTTTCACCGTTACCCATACACGTCTTATCTTCTTTCGTCTTTTACTCTCATGGTGCACGTTTACTCATCCCGCATTTATATCATTCGGACGCTCATCCGTTCCCTTGCAATGTATCTCTAGTGATACTGCTACTCCCCTGCTAAATGCATATTACGTAATCTTGATCCCTGGTGATACGGTTAGTTATTCTTGTTGCGGACCCTCGAAGCTACTATAGCTCTTGTGATAATAATATTGATTTCTCATCGTCCGTGTAAAAAAACTTTACAAAGCCATTACATATATATGAATTACGTAGGGACACCAATCATTGGGCATAGATCTAGAAGCTGCGAAGAGAAGAGAAGGGCAGAAAAGTACGATCCCCCTCCCCACCAGCGCTAGCCGGGCTGAATCTTCCTTTCTTCGATTTATGGCTTCTTCGCATCTTTCCCCCCTAAATATTCCACTTCCATTCGCAATCGCTTCTCCTCACGATACAGTTCTAGCTCCATTTATCTGTCAGCGCCCTACATTCAACGGGAACTTGTCAAATTACCACCTCGACTTTGAGGTCGGGTGAGCCTGCCCTGCATAGTGCGCGACGCTCGCATATACATTGTTGCAAAGATATAGCTAGCGAGCTTGATTTAGAAATTGAATTGATCCCTCGTGCGGTTAAGAGGTATTCAAGTCACTGCCAGGCCACAATATTTACATCCTGTATTTTATGTAATCAGCAGGATACATGAGGACCTGGGTCCATCTTCGTGACACGACGCACATATACACCTGGGGCGTTGCTACATACAAATCCTCTCACAATATCGAATTTATCTCATGGAGTGAGTTACTCGACCTTTTTGTCTTCATGCTCTAGATTCCTTGGAGATCGCCACGATGATATCATATCCCTTTGCCGGTGTGTATCGCAGATCAGTAAGATCGCTTAAAGATATCTGAATCAATGCCTGCCTTCAGAGGTGGTCTTCTAGAAAATCATATTCAAAATTACAATGGGTTGGTCTGGGCTTGTTGCCTCTGCACAAGGTGTCTCAAGAAAACAATTTGCCAATACGTTCAACTTCCAAAAGGCAGTTACGATGCCGTCTACAAAGTTGGTCGTATCGTCGATGATGTCTCAGAGTGCTCTGGAAGGTACCACATAAATTCAGATCGTCTCCTGTCGCGCGATACTAATATCTTACTTTGTACGTCGTGTGGTGTACCAGGGTGGTCTGGCGCGAATATCCTCGGGAACGTCAGGAGTTTCTGGCTCGTAGTCGGTAGTTTAGTAGGGTCCGGTGTAGGTCCTCGGCAGCGTCAGGGGTCCTGGCTCGTCGTCAGCAGTCCCGCTCAGGTTGTAGCCACCCGCTATGAAGGTTTGGTCTTAGGTTTCCCTTATAGTCCATGCCCGTTCCACACGTCGTATGCACCGACTGTCAGGAACATGATATTGAATTGCTTCGTTCGGGATGACCAAGACTTTCTATCTCCGAATGAGATTTCGGCGGGGGGTAGTTGAAGCAAATGCTGAACCTCGAAAACTGATGACTGCAATGAAGATGAGTCTTTAAGAAAGGAAAATGCCCACCACGACATGCGGGCTTCATAGAGCAGATTTATCCAGCATTCCAGCCTTTTTGGCAAACTTGCATGACTGTATATCGATTCCGAGCGCTGAGCTATGCGGCCTAGCGGTATCGGAAACCTTTTTGCCGGTTGCCTTATATGAACAAGTCGGTATGGTAGTTATTTGATGAGCGACCGCGCTCTGGAACAAACATGTGATTATTTTAACGCAACGAGCATCGTGCATTACATCAACTGCGATATATATTGTACTGCTTTGGTGCACGGCCACCTAAACAACGTAAACAGTCTCATTGACGAGTTGTAAGTTCGGAAATAAAAGCGCCTGCAACGCGTGTCAGATCTTTACATCAAATATGGTCAGGGAACGTACTCCAATGAGGTTAAAGTGAGCAAGTCCAAGTTGTGCTTGCCCGGTGGCGAAGGATGCAGGGACTTGAACAGAAAAGTCCTCATATGGGTCGTCTGCGCCCGATCCAAACTCGGGATTAAATGGGCCTTCATACAAGACAGTACCCATAGCTTCACTAATGGGGAAACAGTTCCCAGTTGGGCAAGACTGGATACCGATGACGATCGATATCTCATCACTGTTAGTAAGTGTGTCCTGATGATACATGTGGTTATTGAATACCATACTCTGGAGAATGAGTGCTTGAGAGCTTACCGGGAGGCCTATTTGCACAGTAAAGTTGGTACCTGCAGTGATACTGGAGCCAGGCGCAGGCAGGTTTATGAAGGCGCCCTGAGCACAAACAGACACCACCATGAGAGTGGTAGCAATCAGCGCTTTGATTAGGAAGTGCATTGCAGATGTGAGTGTGGAGTTTCTGGAGAGAGCGTTAGAGTGTCAAAGTTTATATACGCTGAGCGGGCGCTACATTTGGTAGTGCAACTTGAAAAACATCTATAGGTGTGACGTCAACGCCAATGCAAATGCATAACACTAAAATGGAGATGCAAACGCCACAATAATGAAGATATACCTACGACCAACCTGGGTATTGTGAATAGTGATGCAAAGTTGATGTTATACTGCTTACCTACCCGACCCCGGTGTCTGTAATATTGGGGTGAGTTATCCGCAGTCTGTACCATGAGCTAAGCCGGGAAAGGCAGACATTAGTACGTATGTGAAAAAAAGCCGCTGGTGCTGCCTGGGCAAATAAGGCTGACATATGTTCTGTGGAGTGCTCAAAGAATAATCAGAGCTAAACGCAAATTTTCCCCGCAGCATGATTTTGCAGGAGGTGACGATTACTTGACTGTTATTGACTGTAATCATCATTTTTAAAATATGGTTCACGTTACTGCTAGGCAGGTAAAGCAGTCGATCTAGTTGACCGATGTGATCGGAATGAGGCAACGGGCCCGGCGAACGACGACCGTAACACTATCTGCAGGTGCCGCGAAAGGGCATTATTACTGTGCATGCGTACGCTATTGCGGTGCATCGAAGGCCTTCTTGCCCGTGTCCTCAAAAATGCGAGAATATTCCCCGGAACGTTCGTATTCAAGTTTGAGCGCAAAGTATTAGTACTTCTGATGCTATTATCGGTGATGGTTCCTAGCGTAAGGGGTTGCGCGGTGAATGGCAGCTACCATTGGAATGATTGGAATGACGCGAGCAATAAGTCACAATGTTCTGTCTTTCTGGGGAATGATGAATACTGGCACTTGGCCTTAGTGAGCGATAGGCTCCACTAGTATGTGGACCATGGCAAGTTACATATCTATACAATAAAATCAGGTACGCCAATCGATCTGAGGAGAAGGTTGTACTACACCCAATGTCCCATTTCACTCGGAGCATCGACGGCAAGGATCGATTGCTCGATAGGTTAACCGTGACGGCGTGTCTCGGCGTCCGCTGGCCGGACTCGGACTTGTCATCAAGGGAATGTGAAACTAAGTATCTTATTTTTGAGACCAAACCTTTGAGCTTTAATTGGCTCTGCCGTAGTGCTGAGTAGTCTCCCAGACCAAATAGAAGGAAGATGTTGAATGAAGCCTTGGTTTTTCTTTTTACTCAGGCTGACGTGAGCATCGCTTGCAACAGAGGTGTATACCGGAAAATTGGAAGTGACCGGCCGTCCCCAATGAACCGTTCCGCTCCGTCCAACCCTAATTTGGCTATCCGGAACGCCTTGGAATTCATTTATAGTACTTGCTGTACAACACGAAAGGAAACATATGTACAACGATTTGTGGTAAAGTACTGCAACACTGGGATACTATGACATGTCACACGATCGCAAAAGAAGATGAGAATTCGCAAGCATTTGAGTAGCACAAAGGACATCACAGAAATATGTACAACCACCGAATTACTAGTATATGTATGCATCGTTGCACTACACAACGTCCGTCTATATCCAAATAGTCCCAAAAGGTCCATAGTCGTGAAATGAGAAATACGATCATGAAATTGTGATGGTACGATTCAGAGTCTCTAGAAAAGGGTACAACCCAGCCTAGACCATATCGTTAGTTGCGAGCACTTTTGAACAATGTTTAGAATACTCACTCCCACAAGAGTTACATGAGCAACCCCAAGAAGAGCGGTTCCGTTGGCGATACTACTTGGAATCTGTACTGTGAAGTTGTCGTAAGGGGGGAGGTACGTCTCGTGGAACTGTGGGTCGAAGGGACCGTTGTACAAAATTTGGCCCATGTAATCAGCAGGGGAAATGCACGGTGATCCTGGGCATGACTGTATGCCAATGACGACAGCAACTTCCTCAGAGCCCGTTAATGAATCCTGTAAAAGCCAAGCGTTAATTGAGGAAAAGCCATGATTGCATGTCAGAGACTCACAGGTCTCTCCACCTGAACAGTCATATTGCTTCCAGGAGAGACTGAAAGACCTTGCGGAGGGTATCCAATTGCAGCACTCTGAGCGAAAGCAGAAACTGCAAAAAGAGCGAGGGAGAGAACTAACTTCATAATGAATGATTTTGTAGAATTGGTCAAGACGATGAAAGCTCACCCTTTTATATGTTGTCGGCTTTTTGGCTTTAGGCGAGAGGGCAGCGTTCGCCGCAACTTTCAAACCACGCGTGTCAGAAGGTCCCACTGGCAGTACGCTGTGCCATCAAAATATTGCTTCGTTGACAACTTGAGCCGACTGACGTGATCGGTAGTAATCCATTCGCCAGGCGGAGGGAATGTTCCTTTATGTCAATGAAGCCGGCGACATTCGGAAATCACTCATAACATGCACAGCTTTCATTCAAAGTTGGATGATGAAGGCTATGGTCAATGCGTGTGTGAGTGGTTGGCTGAATGCAGTAGACTCAGAGTTGACTAGGACTAAGAGTAGTGGTTGACTGAAGCTACCAAACTTGAGATGGGAAGTGAATTGACGTAATAAATAATGGAACTTGTGTACCAACGTCCGCTCCAGCCACAAGCAGTCTGTTGATAACTCGATTCTTCATGCCTATTTACAGCTACACAAGCTTTTCAGATCACCGCTACTGATTCTTGTGCATGCTGGCCACCATCAGATTTTCCCGGAGCCATTGCACGCTGCAAACGTCCTCAAGGCCCCAATTCCGCAGTCACGCAGCGCGCTGAACAATTCTAAAAGTATTTTGGCATGTCGTTCTCCTTCCATGACTTTTCTCTCCTTGTAGGTATGGTTCTCAAGCCGTCCCTCGTTTTCGTAGAGGTCTTTCTCGGACCTACTACGCGTGCAGAATGAATGTCGCAGATATAAGATGCACGACAACTGAGTAGTACCATCCTAGGATAACTGACTACATCCTTTTATCAAAATAAGAGCCGTCAGCTCACTCATCGCCTGACTTTTTGGAGCATTGATTCTGCATAACAGGTCTTCATAATTTCACCATTAGTGGGCACAGCTGTTTCCGGGAAGAAATACAATGGTCACTGTTGGGAAACCAGTAAGTTGATGAGTTCTCTCTATACAGTCTTGACTTTACGTTGTGCAAGGACTTGTGTTATGCTTTCGAGGAAGTAGCTGTTGTCATTGCCATGTGCCCATGCGCATGGAATTTTGGTTCCTCTCATGCGGAAGCGCTAGGCGACATTTTCTATGGTAGTCCATTTAATCCCCACACGAACTTGAAGCAACCGAGCGAAGATTAACATTAGAATCCCTCACTAGATGAGCAACAGTAGCGCCCTTCTCACCGTCGCTCGCTCTACCCTCATTGGGGTACGTGTTGCGTTTTATGACTGGTGTGGGAGCCAATGCTGAGTATGGTTAGGCCGTCTTGGATGGAGATCAAAAAATATATCGGTAATAGTGAGCTAGCTTATTTCGCAGCGCATGACACGATTCATTGTAATGCCACATCACTTTGGCAACTGGAATGCTGCTTGACGTTCTATCACGTTCTTCATCGTTAGGAGGGACGATCTCGAAAAGAAGAAATGGGTGCAATGGAAACATGATCCGCTCACAGATGATGATCATCTCGGAAACCCCTGACCGCCCTACCATGTGGACACGCCGCACAAGGTTATTTCATCCAGACATGATAATAGGAATGCATATACATCTAGCTCCACAGCCTCGTGCTTGGCTGGAAACTTGAACAGTGCGATATGCCCATCAGGAATGCAAACTATAGAGGTGCGCAGTATCCTTTTTCCTGCCAATATTCTGTAGAACTGTGTAAAGTATCTTTCTCGCTTCCATTTTCACCGTAGCTGCCTTCGCACAAAGCGTTCACAGTTGGTGCTGGAAGTAACCTTGACGTCGACATTATTTGACCAGTAAGCTCCCAAAAACAATATCCTTGTCCCACCGGGATCACACATCTACATTTGTCCACATAATTTCCAGTCTTCGTTGCAAGATCTAGCTGGCGTGATTATCGTGTAATCCAAGCCACTTGGTGACATCCAACGGGCCCTACGGCCAATAAGATGCTAAAACTTGGATCTTCAGGTTCCTTCTAATTTGATGGGGCAATGCAGTGCTGATTGTAACGCATCTGGCATTTATTGGGGTGAGAGCTTGTGATCGTTGTCTCTTGCTCACCAGTTTGATGTTACTTGTATTGGTGCCAGGCCAGGCCCACTGCGTGGATGGAGGAAATGAATGTAACGTTCTACATACGTTCTTTCATATGCCTGCGCCGGCCCTGCGAGTAATTATTTCATTTTATTAGCGATTCTGATGAGAATAGGCATTATGAATGAGATATACCAGGTTTTCGCGCATCGGCTGTAGAGCAATCATTTCATGAAATGGCGTTGTACACTCACGATGAGATCTAGGAGTTATCACCGTTGAATGAGCCAATAGGTTCTATCGCAGCCGCAGACGTTCCTAAACAAAGCTATGATCAGTGCTTCGCCTTCGGCGCCGGGCGAACCCAAGAAGATTTAAGTTGGATCATTTCGGGTACCCGCACATACTCTCTAATTGCTTGAATAGGACTCTGTCAATCAAACCAAGCAGTAATAAGGTATTGTCGTGATTGATCATGACCGTTAAACCGATCTTCCATTAAAAAAACGCACCTGGAGTTGCAACGATCAATCAGTATGCTACACGACCCATATTCCTTCACATGAACTATATGCATACATGTGTACATTGCGCTGAACTACAAACCAAGGGAACTTCACTAACGTTTGCGATTGAGCTTAAATTACGTTTGAGTTGGCTCCAGTCTAAAAATAGTACTACCGAGTTGCAATTGTTCCGAGTCCCTCCCACTATGACACATTTCAGAGTCTTCCTCGGCGCCCCGTCCGCCAGTAATCTCAAAAAAGACTCGATTGGTTCGTACACCTGGAAGACTATCGAGCCTCCTTCAACAGAGGCCCTCCCAAATACTACTGTATCCTCCCGCAACACTCGAGGCCGCGAGCAGACGAATATCTTTGTTCTACCAGAACATTATATTCGACGATTATGGTGAAGAAATCGTTTGATCAGGAGCGTGTCGGCCCGAGCGCATGGCCTGAGGGAAGCCAGCCTTTTATGAATGGTATGTCTTTTGCATAGCTCCACGATTGCGAGCTCCACCTTATATGCGCATATAGAACAGACGACGGTGATAACCTGGCCTCCGACCCCTGTTGCAGATACAACTGGTGTACCTTCATTCCTGCGTATATCGCAATCTCAGTCACAGTCTCAGCTTGCTGCGATGGATCAAACACAGGAAACCACCTCTGTGTCTTACTCGGACGCGTCTTCTATAGCCCGCTTCCCTCATTTTCAGATTAACCTTCACAAGGTCTCATCTCTTTCATCACTCTACAGCGAAAAAATCGCGAGAGGGAAGAAAAGTGAATATATTACTCGCTACGCTAGAAGTGGAAGGCCCCGATACAGTGCGTGTGAAGAAAGGCCCAGACGCAGGGAAAGAAGTTTCAGTTCTTAAAATGATTCTGGGTGATGAAGATGGATCAGTGTGTAAGCTCACCGCATGGCGTGGACGTTGCAGATGCCTGGGGTGCATTGGGCGTCAAGCGTGGAGATATAATCTATCTAGAAAGTGCGTATCGTATCACCCTTGGGATCGCGTTGCGTGGACTCATGTCATTTCCCATCACATAGATCTCGCACCAACGTGCGAGCCAGGCAGCTCGATCACCCTCACCGCTTCTCCGTATAACAAGCCCACCGCGGAGATTTGCTTTCGGACCATGCCTTACACACGTGAGGACAACCGTCTCCGGCCGGACCTCCGGCTCGGGAAAAGCGACGCCGCCGTCAAGAAGGTCGCTGCATTGGCCCACTGGTTCGAGCAAATGGCGGGTTTGGTGGTTAGTTAAGCGAACGCCACCTTGACAGCATGACTATGGCTATTCCACATTTGACGTCGTTGGCTTATAGTCTAAGACGTAGCCACTAGACCGTCGCTGTGGTGCAAGTTACCGGTTAAGCCGTGAGCGACATCACCGGGCCACCGGCCGTGGATCTCGATCGAAGATGTTACCCGGTAATTATGCCTGCAGGCTCGCTAGCCCGCAGCTGCACGCAAGTGTTCTTTCATTCATTTGTATGGAGTCATCAAACACCCATGCTTATAATAGACATGTCAATCCGCGTTTCGTTCCGCACGCAGGACAATGCCAAGCCCACAGACACAGGTCCATACCATGGGTGCCACCGCTTTGGCCACACCTGACCATTAGTACAAAAGCCCACCGACTTTACCCGTGGATGCGGATGTGGACGCGGGCGATGGGACACCTTGACATTGACACTGGCGGACTATAAAGCTCCTCATCGTTCTTCTTGCCTGCCAGTGACCCCGTGTAGTGTCATCTAGATCTCGAATTCTCGTGATATGCCCTTTTCACAACTCATCCCTACAAGCTTTCTCCCCATTCTTTCTGCGTTTGTACGTCTTCAACGCAGCATCAAAATTCGAATGCATGCACCCTCCGTTCTCGAATCCTTCGTGCTGAGTCATCTTATCCCGAAACGCAGGGATTCTCTTTCATCCACTCGTACACAAAAATCATCCTTCACTTCCAGAGCCACGAAGCGCAGGTTTTTACTTCCTTCGTTGAAGTTGTCTTCGTCCTCGTTATCTTCCTGGTCTTCCCGGGATACAGAATCTAGCCCAAAACCTGCGGACTCTGTTTCAAGCGCCGAATCGACCATCCCCGATGTTATTGTAACACCGGCGAGCCCCATTTGCTCTTTAGCGTTCACATCTCCTGTATGTTTGTTCCCGTTCAGTTCGATTGATTGATTTAGACCGTCCAACTCAGCCTCCACTCGGGAAAAAATTACCGATCGGTTCTGGCCCGAAGAAGATCTCGAACAGGATGATCAAGATGAGATATCTGGAAATGGCAGGCTTTCGTCGCCGATGATAGTGAATGTGTTGACACCTCCTCCGTATCACCGACGTGCTCCGAATGTCATCGTACATCAGGACCACGTACGATCTAGGTCTGTTGTTCAGATTTAGCTTCTTGAGGTCCGGGGTGGCTGATGATGTATTTGCAGTAACAGTTATCCTTCGCATTATAAAAGCCAGCACGATTCGCGCCCTATGCGGTTCCCATTCTGAGCATACTTTAGGAAAATGGTATCTTACCCTCACGTTAATCAGACCTATCATCTGCCTGTAGACTAATTTGCATAGTATATTCTCGTTATAATCTAATCTTTACCTTATCTCTCTAACTCGGTATTCCTTTTGTTAATTCTGTACACGTTGGCCTTCCACCGCGCAGGCCTGATTATGTCAACTTGAACCGTCGCTTGACAGGGGCGGTTGTACCTCGTCCAGCACTATCCGAGTAGCCTCGACAATGATCTCCCACTCTACCTTATGTAGCCTCTCCTCGTAAGCCTCTATCGTTTCCCCCTTCACCACCTCTACTCTTCTCTGAATTAACGGCTCCCCGCGATCAACTTCTTTTACTACACGATGTACCATCACGCCCAGTTCATCAACCTCCCCCTTCTGGAACGCCTCAAACCCTCGCTCGACTGCATGCGCACCATCAAATTGCCCAAACAACGCCGGATGAATATTGATCACAGGCACCTCCCTCGCAAGCGCCTCCTCACCGTCCAACACCCGCGTTCCCCTGAACACATCCAAAAACCCCTCGCTCATGATATGCATCCACCCCGCACACACGACCACATCCGGCCTGGCGCGCAACACGACGCGCGCGACCTCCCCATCATAATCCTCGCGCGTCTTTCCAGGGTTCGATTTAATGAACGGCTGAAGGCCGAGGTATGCTGTAGGGATCGGAGGCGATGCGGTGGAAGCGCGTATCAGACCACGTGCGTTCTTGCGATTGGAGAGGACGATGACGATGCGGGTGTTAGGCAGGGATGGCGTGTTCTGTGCATCGATCAGTGCTTGAAGGTTGGTTCCTGTGGTTGCGATCCGATATGGTAGGATGTACGTTTGCGAGATCAGGATTTGACACATACCTTCTCCCGAGATGAGGACAGCCAATCGTCTTGGTGACGTTGGTGCAGCGCTTTGATCTTTCATGGCACTGGAACGAATGTCTCTCTTAGTGAAAGTCTATTGATATGCATGCTTCAATTTGTATACCTTGTAAGCACTTAATTATAATCTGCAATGTTTTGGCAGAGGTACGGGGGGTTAATTACGTACAATACAATGTTACGCTGTTGTGGCGTACCGCATTCAGACTTAGCAAATATTCAGCATTTGGGGTCTGAATCTCCAAAAATAACATTCTGATTAGAAACTCGAGCTTAAACTTTGAAGCGGCAGAAAAGCACAATGTCTTCAAGGAGAGGACTCTGGGTAAGTTCTCAAAGATGGGAACGGGAATCGATATTGAGATGCCGAGTACGCCGCCGCTGACAATGTAATGTTAATCTAGAATTATAAGTAATGAGTAAGGTAACACGGCGCCCATGTCATGTGAACCTGTAAACCACAAGAGGGCCCCGCCTTTTACGTTAACGGAGCGTACACTTTTGATTTGACAGAGAAGATACAAGATGCCAAATGAACAACAGTAAAGAGCGTTTATACTGCAAGTTTTGGTGAGGTCAAAAAGGAGAGTTTCGTTTCTTGATGGTTAGTGTTACATAGATAGATGACGAAACATACAACGAAAGCGAACGCGTGCGAGTCGATGGAGCTACGCATAATTATAATGATCAAGCAAGTGGTCACTGAGACAAAATGAGGAGTGGGTTATCAAAACGTAGACAACAAGATGCAGTCAGAGCATAACAAGCAGAAGAGAAAGCGATACTTCATCCCAAAGTCCCAAGGCGTCCCGTGCACGGCACGAGTATCGTGTACAACGCCTCAAAGGCTCATAGGCCTCATATCATTATGCCATATCCTCCGCCATTGCCAACGTTTATCGGGACGCTCAAACCTTGCTTCGTCATCATGCCCCCCATGCCATCATCGACCCTGCCGTTCCACGATCCTGCAATACCAGTGTTGATGTGGAGGTTGCCCAGGCTCAGCCTTTTGGGTAGACCATAATCGGGGAGGGCGTTGGCAATCTCGTAGCTCATAGGAGCCCCATGGGATGGTGAGCCGTATCCAGAGCCAGGGCTGCTGTTACCAGATCCGACGGAAGATGCGTCGTCAACATCAGCTCCATACCCCATGGCACTATGGTGCTGTTGGAGTGCGAGCATCTGCTGCCTTTTGAGGTTGGCAAGAGCCGCTTGATCCCCAAAGTGATGTCCGGTCGTGGCCGACGGTCCCATGTTATGCGAGCCATTGGGAGGTGTGATCAAGTTACGCTGCACTGGGTGTTGTTGGGGGTGCTGAGGGTGATAGGCGTTGTACATGTTCGACCACGCTTTCATATTGTGTTGATCCATAACGGGATGGTGTTGTCCAATGTAAGGGGGTGCGGCAAAATTTACCCGAGGTTCGTAGATCGAAGGCACCTCTGGGTTTTCGAAGGAAACAGGAGAGTGCATCTGAGCGATCATAGGACCACCCTGCGAGTTGGGCGGGCCACGTGGCATCACATGCGGGATATTGACGTCAGTGGGGACATTCCCGTGTGCATACATGCCGTTCTTGACCATCGGCGCAGATGGCATAATATCTTCAGTTTCGTCCATGGTATTTGGTATCGAACCAGCGAATTCATCGTCACCCTCATCATATCCGTCATATCCCTGACCTTCTTCATCTTCTTCTCCAATAACAGCTGTGACAATTTCGACTTCGGCGTTGAGAACCATGGAAAAACCTTCTCCACGAACGGGTTCTTCCACATAGGGAAGACCGGCACGATCACGCCATTCATTGAGTTCCCGGCGGAGGGCATCAGATTCTTGTTTCAGAGCCCGCAGCTCCCGCGAAGCTAAGAAGCGGTGACGCCTTGACGCGTGAACATGAGCGATCGAAGAGTTAACGATCGCAGACTTGGAAGGTCTGCGGATCTGTGAAAGATTGGGAAGCAGCGCAGCAAGATCCTAAAAAGATGGCATTCGGATCAGTGATTCTTTTGATCAAGAGAAATGATGCTTGCCAAAAATCTGCCATTGAGAGTCTCTCTGCGCTGTCTCTCGACTGCATTGTGAGTAGCGCGCCTTTCGGCGGTATTGGCTCGGCGACTGGGCTTTCGCTTGACTTGTGTAACCGCGCCATTGGCTGGGGCTGTGCCGGAACTTTGTGATTGGACGTTGTTGTGTTGCTCAGTAGAAGATGCCAAGGGAAGTGAGAGAGTTCGACCGGCGGCAGGAGTGATCGGAGTTTGAGGGGGAACAGAACCATCTACTGAAGCAGGAGAGTTACCAGCAGAGGGGGACGAAGAGGAAGCGATTGGGAGAGTCAAAGCCATGATCGATAAACAGGGGGTTCTACAAAGGAAAGATAGAGTATAATTGAGACGATAACACGAGTATAACAGAAGAGAGAGATGGATTCTGGCGACAAGAGACGATTAACAAATTGATATCGATTTCACAAGGAGATGGTGATAAGAACAGTGGGGTACGCGAGTTTCCTCAGCGGTGACCTTGACTGTGGGGATTTGTGGGAACACTCGAGAATGGATTATGCAGGTGAGGCGGTGCGGTGGGTAGTCGACAAGCTGCTGTAAATCAGAGTCGCGAGCGAGCTCAAGCGTACTGCTGATTGGTCCTTTGAGGTATGTGGGTTGTTTGAAGGTCGGATTGTGAGAAGCCGGCAAGGGTCGCGAGATCTGTAGAATGTCATTAGAAATATCAAGTCTATGAGAACGATCAAGACTGACTACAAGCGGGATCCTTGGTAGCGGCGAGGCTTATCGGGGATGGAGGAGAAAAGGGTTTAAGGACCTCAAAGGACCATGCAGAGAGGGAGGACTGACAAGTGATGGGGTTGTAAAGTCAGGAAGACGAGACAACGCTTTCAATTCATATCTATCGGCTAACTCCGCATTATTTTATTATTTTCCCAGAAATCACAAATCCCTCTCACGTATACCTATCTAGCCGATGTCACCGACGCCTGATGCCGAAGAGTATTTAATATTATTTGGACTTGTTTACATTTGGATTTATCTGCATTCGTCCCTATTCATTGTCCCTTTTGGACAATTCAGTCGGCTTTGACGTGCACTGGCTCTACCAGATCCCCGGGCACTCTTGACAATTTTATGGCGCTCCCTTTACGTTCGGTTCACGTTCAAGAGAGTTACATCCTTTGATCGCGGATTCCGAGCTCGATCAGGCTGCAGCGCCTTCGGATCCTCTTGCTAACTAACCGTAATCGGCGTTGCTATCACCACCGAGAGCCTGCAACTCCTTCTGTCTTTCCTCGAGCTCGATTTACTGCGCTCTCAATCTTCAACATCTCTTTGCCATGTATGTTGTTTCACTGAGGTTGTCAGCGCGGCGCTGATATAATTTTAGCAAGTCGATTGAAGTTCCGACGTTTTGAAACACACTCACTGACTTGGTGACTAAGTTAATCATAGCATAGCAGTTGCGTCTTGTTCTTCTTTAGGCACTGCCGAGTCATGGCAGGGTTAGCTAGCATTGCTCCCTCTCAAACATAATCCCCTTTGGAAGCACCCTCACACCCTGTCAAGCCTATATTTTGTTTCCCTCTACTTTCTCCGGTATTTTTGTTTATGGTTATTTCCATGCCCCACAGCAGTGGCGCATCTTTCTTGCACTTATGTAAGCAGCAGCGTCCCACATATTGCTTCGACAACATCATGAGAAGGAGGTTTCCGGAAGGTTCTACGGCGCCGTATTACCTTGTTCGATAGACAGGAGCAAATCCATCAAACGCGCAGGGACCACGAGGCCGCCGCAGGCGCAGAAGCACGGACAAAGCACGGAAATCCGGTCGTGTCTTATTATCACAAGCCAGTACTATGATCTGACTAACCTCGCTCTGTCGCTAACATTCATCGTCAATTACTAGTGTACTATAACTCGGCCAACCATTCACACGACTGCAACCATACAAAACACTACAGTACGAACCGATATGCGCCGAGGATCAACAAGGTAGCGTTTTGATAAACGTCTGTTTCCGTCAATTCCGCATTGATCATCAATCAACTTTCAACTTTTCAACATGTTCGAGGATGAGAATCATCGAGGAGACTAGTACTCGGATCTCCATTGTCGTGAAAAAACACATGTTCAGAGAGAGAGAACCAGGATTGATTGTAACGGAAGACCCCACGGCGTTTCTTTTACCCTAAACGTTATATTTTGAATCGACAAGTGATCTTGGTCAGACAAATCTGATACTCTTTTAAATTCACATACGCCCGCGGCTCCATCGTTACCTCCAGATGCCGTTGGAGACAATTCGTTCTCCCACCTGTCAGCATGTAAGTAACCGCCACTGTTTTTACTTCAACTCTCCTGAACGTAAGTCAACCCTGGCGGTACCGGAAATTCACAAGCCAACTGCAGACCTGGAACTATATTTTGTCAACTTTATCCATAATATGGTGCGCTGTTAATCTCTTTAAGCGTATTGCCACCCCCCCTGCTTAAGAGATATATATTCTGTTTGTAGCCTTTTCATGGGTCCTCTGCCATTCTACCAGAGGTCCAGAACATGAAGTCTATTTTACATATTGCGGTGTGTTTAAATTTGATCCCGCGGAAGTAATCCGCATCAATTAATAAGGCCTGGAACTAGTTCCCGGAGCTTCCGTTCTGTGTTTAACATTAACATGTAACTGCGAGTCATCCAAACAAGTGCGCAATAAACAACTAGCTATAGGGGACCGAGACAGCGAGGGAAAGAAATCATAGAAAATCCGATAATATAGCGAATGGGGTCTCAAACTAGACACCTATGTGAAATAAAATAATATGTTCCAGTAGCGCAACGACTTTATGATGGTCAGATGTGCCTGAAACATTAAGCCAGTTGTCGTGAAACGCAGATACAATTTCGCCCGCAACTTGTTATCGACAGACCCGCGGCGTGGAATTAATAACACTGCGAAATTCGGAAAATTGCATAGCCGCTGTAGGGTGAGTCAAAACTTCCTCTCATCGCCCAAAGTGGTGTGGAAAGCCGATAAGAATGCGGACTCTGGGTTCAGCTAGTCTGATGGGATGATGTCCTTGATTATCATCAGCAGCCCGCCGGATGAAGACTACTACAGTTGTTTTCTGTTTTGGCATTCGGTGGCAAAGTTAGGGAGCATTTGATCACAAATTGCATATAGTGCAAAGCCCGCATGCGGTTGCGGGGATGTTCCGGAGTAATGAAAAGGATGTCACGATGGGTACGAAACGTTGAGTTATGACGGACAACTAAGGAGCGACACATTTCGGAGTTCCTCCCGTCTGTCAGGGTTCCATTGAGCGGCTTGACCGATTGCAACCAAATATTGTGTAGATATATCTTGAGAAATCCGTGATCTCGCGAGTGCCGCCAAGGTCGGAATATACAAAAGAGATGTAAAAATGCGACAAATTGGAGCCTTCCTGCTGCATGTAAGAAAGTTGCATAATCTCAATCGTGCGGAGGATGCTGACAAGCTTGTGTTGGCGATCAGAAGAATCATATTGCTCTGCGAGGCGCAGAAACTTGGAGTACAACTCGGAGACTCTGGTCTGTGTGGAGACAGAAGGGAAGCCAAGAAGCATACAAATGCATGAGATGACATCATCCCATTGCATGGACAGTTGCCGGTTGTGCGGAAACTGGTCTTAAACTGATGGAACACGTTACGAAGGCAAACGCTTAGTGTTCAGCCAATTGAATAGGCTGCGCCAATGTCAACTGGCGGTCGTCAATGCAGTGTGATAGTGTGATAGGCAACCAGTGCAAAACTTACATCAGGTCCGCTGCCTACATCGTATCGATCAGCTACAAACCTTATCAGCAACCTCCCCCCCTCCTCCCCCAACCAATTAACTAGCTAATTCAAAGCTGATTCGTTGAAACTTGAAGCTTGAAGTATCGCGGTGTTCGTTTTCCCCATATTGACTAGTCCACAACAGCTTTTTCGTGTCGCTAGGTGAAACTGACATGGAGATTGGCTTGGATAAGCGAAGCCTAGACCAGAACGTGCAGCAGAGCGTCGCGAGGCACACCACGCTCTTAATACCTGTTGTCACCTGTCTTCAAGGGTCAGGGACTGTTAATTAGGGAAAGGGGAACGCTAGGATAGCGGGGACAGCAACAGTTTCGAACCTACAATAGTTCTCTTCAGGAATCAGGGGGCTACCGCCACCCCAACCGCACCGTTCTTCTCGTTCTGTTTAGAATAATACTACTGACATATACCCGGTGGGAATACAGGTTCCGTTGCATGATTGCAATCGCGTCCAATCACCGGCCAGCTGCATCCAGCAACCATGACCCATCGGCAGGGTAGTCTATGGTTTGGAGAGGGCAGGAAGCTTCAGACCTCAAGTCTCGTGACCAGCCTTTAACACCCTAAACCCACTCACCGACTCACCGATCGAGGTATCTTTGTTGGCCGTTTCCGAGCCGACATGGATTTGGCGTCTCTGTGCAGAGACGATGCTGGATAACATCCTTCCGATTACACTGCGGGTCCATTGGGGCTGTATATCCGCGAATATATGCATGCGTGTTGCGTGCAAGACAGGCGACGGAGAACCCGAAGCTACTCCGCGGCTGACTAAGCTACGGTACAGAGTGTCGGCCACCGCAACTTGAATCGGAGTGCAGCTGTCACTAATCCTTATGATCTCTTCTTTATCCAACGTTCTCCAGTCCCTTGAAAACGTTATGGTTGCCACACGACTCCGGAGAACGACCATTCATGATTACTATATGTACCTTTGGTCTTCCTGGGACATACAATTTCAACAGAGCAAAATACAACACATCCACTAGGTCCCACCCCTCAGGTCACTCAAAACCGTTTTGTTATGTTGCGTTTTGTGTATCTGGAAGGAATTTGTGCCCGCCATTGAAGACTATTCTCAAGGCTTCAGCACGAACTATTCTATGCGGGAGCAGGGGCTGACACGATGTCATCTGCTAACTCATCAATTGGAGTCAACCTCAGTATGATTGGGTCACACGTAACTCCAGCGTTATCTATACTTCGGACGATTCTATTACCGGTCTCCGCCTGTGGAATATCGGTGCAAAACTGCGGTATCAATAAGTATGCGTTGAAGGTGCTTGTCTCAAATCGACTGTCAGCTCCTAGGTACGCTGGCTACCCCTTTCCAGTCGGAGAATATCCATTCATCACTGAAGTTGCCAGATATCAGACGATGATTAACTCACAAGGACGTGTAGGCAGCACAATAGGTCGCCTTGTATTCCATCTATTCTTTCACGACCAAAGGATCTAATTATACGCTCGATCAAACGGAGATTTATCTCGAGCTCGTAAGTTTTATGTTACACTGTCTTTTCCCACCTCTTATGATTAAGGGGATACTGGCGTCTCCGTAACGGTAAGGCAGTTCTCTAAAGACAGTTCACATTCACTTGACATCACCTCAAAGTTCCTTTGCTCAGGTTTTATTATATGCCGTGTGTCTGGTACTTACTATTTTAACCATCCTCACTTTCACCCGTGCTTTGTACGCGTTTGGAAGTACAGCCATCAGAGGCCCACCTTCGACGCGTCAACTCATTATGGCATCTACTGCTGGGAGTCTAAGTCTCGAACTTGCAGGTTTCGATCAGCAAGAGATACTCGCAAATGAAGGTATCACAAAGAAGTTTGTGTGAGGTACGAAATAGGATAAGTTGAAAAAGGCGTCGAAAGAGGTACTCCTTTCGAATCTGTAGTATGATTTTTAGTTATTCTTGTTAGAACGATGTTCCTTCTTAGTGGTATACCTGTCCTTTCCCTTGTAGATGTGTACATACAGGTAGCGCACGAACTTGAAACCAAGCTTTAGGTAGCTGAGGAGTATGTGTTTATGTAGGTGGAGGATGCGACGTGCGCGTGAACCGCCCACCGTCCTACACATGCGAAGCTCTGGGGCGCGTCGCCGGCTCAATTCGGTCGGAGTTCCATTCATGGCTGACGCATTGCGTATGAACCTTCTTCTCAACATCATGATCCCCCCCGTGGTGGTGCTCCTCGGTGCGCTCTCCAGCTAAAAATTATCCTCGACGTTGTCAGCCACCACCACCACCACCACCACGACCTTCTGCTGTCAACAGTAACAACAGCCTGCTTCGTGTATGTTGAAACTGCGTTCCCAGCACTCGTTCTGAGCCATCACCCAGAACTACAGGATCTTTCATATTGCTCTAACTGTAGTTCCACTGTGCCACAGCCCCCACGCTCCTAGGGCAACATCCTGCAACCTCTTGCTATTCTGGCACACCAACACGGACCCTTTCCATGATCCTGGTAATGCGCACCCAACGGTGACCTTTCTGGTGCTGCCGTCGCGACCTACTGCAGTCTCCTGCTGCTCACTCTGAGCTCCCGCACCTTGTCATTCTCAGCGCCTCGCGTAGCTGCCTGTGATATCTCGTTCTTTCCCTGGCTGGCATTCTGGTTCTGCGCTCTTCGTCTTGGCCCAACCGGATTGCGTTTGATCTATTTTATTGTATTCTGTATTTCATATGGTTAGACATTCTTTTTTGAATATGATAGTATTGTTAACTCGAGCACTGACTGGAATTGAGTGTTGAGTGCTTGCTCGGTTCATGAGCACCACTGGTCCTAAACGAAAAAGTCAGACAACATGAAAAGAAAGCCGCATGAGGAGCCAGGCAGGCACCGAAGATACCGGGCGGCGGGCGGGGCGGGAGGAACATGCAGAACCTCAGCTGACATAGTGAAACTCCGACTGACACCCCCAGAGTGGATCATTACAATACCCCTAGAGACACGGTGAATTGCTCATGTGTCATCCACCGGCGACTGTCATATCGACCAGCTGCAGACTTTGTAACTTCCCGCCATCAAAGCAATTGTCTGAATCTACTGGTTTTCTCCATATAGATGTCTAACAAAACGTTCCGTATCAGCACGCGATGAGTAACATGACTTCTCCCCTTACGATTAGGCCCCCTCTAGTCTTTTTGACGAGGCTCCCACAATGATCATCGACCCTCGGGATGAAACTGTCACTAATCGTGAGGCCTGAGGATCCGTCTCCTTCCGATCTGCATGATCCCCAAGCTGTCACCTGACAAAGCTTTTCTTCGCAGGAATTTGTGTTGGGAGACCGGTCTTCCGAACAAATTCAACGAGATTTTGCGAAGTTGGCAGCCATGGCTATCAGTGTAGCATTGCACTCGCACGCACTCCCAATGATCTTTTCCCAAGCGGATCACTCAAAAAAAGAAAATGAGGACGGTTCGATACTTCAAGCGTTAGATTATTCCGGTCCAGGGTGTGAGTTGTGCGTGCGATGTCGTTCAGCCTTATTGTTTCAGAATCTTTTAGGCTACTCACTCGATAATGTGACTAATGCTAATGCCTGCCTCATGTACACCGCCTTTAGATATTGTGGCTGCGCCATTCTACCGGTACGTTCTTGCAACATGCCTTATGTAAAGGTTCTCGACTCTACGAGCGCCATGATCTATCATATGTGATGCATGTATATTTTTCCAGCTAATTTACCGGAATCTCACCGAGGTCGAAAAGTCTTCAGAAGATGCGAATCTGTGATTCTTGTCTCTAAAACTCTCAATCGCATGTCTTCGAAAATACTTCTTTCAACTGTATTGCTTAAGTTTCTTTTCTTTTCGCAGCGTCGGACAACATAGAAAGATAGACTTACAGACCCATTAGCAGTCCGCGATTTCTGGCGTTACGCGTGCTGTGTGCAGTACTAGGATGTCGAGGAAATTGTTGTATGACGGGAGATTGCGGATCGGCCAACACTTGCCAGTGGATACTGAAGCCGCTCGCAGAAGAACAATATAACCACCCCATGGGTCAACAAGGTCCGCCCTAAGTTCCGCAATCCTCCATATACGTGGGATAAGACAAGGTAAAAAGTTTCCCAAGATGATCGCAATGTCGCTTAGCACAAATTCAACAGCACGCTCCCGAATCTCAAGCAGCCTTCTTCTCACCAATCATATAGGAAACTCCGCAGAGAACGAATGGGCCCCGAGATTGCCTTCATCGACGAACTCATATTCGGCAGTGAAAGGCATACCCTGACAACTAAAATTTGGTGTGTCAAAATCAGAGGCAAAAGACTCACAACACTGGCCGCTGAAACTTGGTTGGTTTTGGCCTATTCTCACACGTAGGTCAAAGATGGGTTTGGATCAGGAAATTAAATAAATAGCTTACGCGAACGACAACCTTTCCTCCAGGATTTGCGGTGATATTTTCTATAGTGTATTAGCATTGATGTCAGTCATCTTCAATTCAATATGCTAGAAATATCTCAAGGAAAACTTTATAACCGGCCTGGTTGAACTCAGCTATAGCCCTTCCCAAGAATGCCCAGGCCTCAGGCCCTCAGCTAGGGCTTGGGCGTCAACGTCATTGCTATTAATCCTGATATATGCGTGAGCAACAAAAACTTTTTCATGCTTACAAAAGGCCGTTATTATCTAGCGAAGACTCATTGGCGCAACTGCCCAGATACGGCGAGGTTGGCGGCCCGGGGCTGCATCTGCCTGATAGAACGCTTATAATGTGCCTTGTTCGCATCATGACGACGGCAATCCGCGATGGCCGGGACTGCGCAAGAAATATGGTGCTTTTTGGTATACGAGGCTTCGAACAAAAGGATGATATCCTTTCATGCCAAATACGTTTGATTCTGGAGCTATTTTGCTTCCTATCGTGTTGGCCTTCAGTAATGTGACCATGTGGAATGTTGCTCCTTGTTGATCACTTGGCGTCTCGCTGTCCATGGATTCCTCGAAGCAACCTTGAAGGGTAACAGCGAACAAAAATACAATGAGCTGACTCAGCTTAGATCGCAATGATTATCGTCAGCGAGAACAGGGGGGAAGGTAATAATAGAAAAATCAATTGCGGAGCAGCAAGATAAAATTGATCGGACACCCAAACCAACGAAACTTCTCGGGAAATGCCTCAGGGTCGTATTGTAACTGATGACGAATAAGTACTGACCTTCCTAATCGCAGTCATGATCTCGATCCTCTGTCGCATTCCGTTTGCATGTACGGGTCTTGCTCGCCCTTTCCGTCTTGTTCGCTTTCTCCGTCTTATTCCCTTTCTCCGTCTTGTTCGCTACGTGACTTCGCACCAACAATGTGATTTCATTGACCAACGACAGTTCCGTCTCTACAACCTTGCTGGTGTCAACAAAATTCGAGAGCCGATTGAGAGCCGATATCTCCTTGGTCCATATTTCTGTTGCTTCGAAAGTCGGGGTCTCGAGAATGAGAGGAATGTCTTGTGTCCGAGGGTCGGACACAATGTACCTGAACGTAGAAATACCAATATGTCCGCTAAAACGGTGGTAAAAACCACTTTATAAAACAACCAAGGATGGAGCGCGCACAGTCCAATATTCTCATGTCGATCTTTTTTTGACCCGAGGTCAGCTTTGGAGTCATTTAAATGCAACCCCTTGAGATATGATAGTCCAACTTCAGTGTCGAACGCGGAGACTGCGTGATTCGAGTCACGGTTGTGTTTCATAGTTTGCAACTGTAGAACTCACGTGTTGAGCTAGGAAGTTACAATGTTAGTGAGCGTAAGAAACTAAGTAGTCAACAGACATACTCCCATCCAACTTTTGTTGAGATGTCGTATCCCTGAAATCGCGGTAAAATGTTTGCAAGGCAGAGAATGAATCCCTTACTGCAGCAAACGCATGACCTGAATTCCATTTGTCAGTAAAATCAAGCCCAAAAGGCTGAGACGCACAGGTATCAAGGCAAACGCCTACTCGTGTCTTGTCCTCGACGTGGTCAATAATTTCCTTCAGCTCTGAAAACTGGGAGCCTATGACATTTCCCGAACCTGCCTATTTTGAACGACGAAGTGAAGATGGTCAATTTCCAAGCCGTATAGATACACACCATGTTCTCGATGACGATTGTTATATATTTTGTTGCTTTGTGCGCGTTGTTGATACATTCAGCGATCAGGGCTATCGACTCCTCTTTCGTGGCCTGCCCAACGGTCGAGCCCGGACTTCATTAACTTAAGTTCGATCTCGATAGGAAAGGATTAAATGATTAACTCACTGGAAATTGTACAGTTCGAGGCCAAGCTGTTCGCACCGCTGAAGATCATCAAGGAAGCAGTTGAATGATTTCTGCCTCTTCTCCCTAAAATAAAACATCCGTGAGTATCATCACAAACCCACAAATCAAAGAGGTGAGCTTATGCTCACTCGTCCGGGTTTCCCAGATTAACTAAATAACTACCGTGTGGAAGAACATGTTTAGGTGAATACCCAAACTCTTGCATTCGTCTCTTGAATGCATCGATGTTTTCAGTAGAAAGTGGCGCAGAATCCCATTTTCGTTGGGACTTGACGAATAGAGCAAATGCATTGGCGCTGTAGGGGTTTAATGTTCAACGTTCGGTACTTTAACGAGGGGAGACTGGCACGAAACACGTCTCTCACCCAACCATCGCTGCATTTTGAACAGCATTCTCGACACCTCCTGCGGCTGATACATGCGCTCCAATCTTCCACGGACTGGATATGCGTACTGGAAATTCTTCCGTCAAAGGTTTATCCTCCGTCTTTGTCCGCTTCTTGCGGCGTGTGGGTTCCTTCGTGGCTAGAAGTTTCATGTTTAGTTACAAACGAAGAAATGAAGTCAGTTCAGGTTCACATGTACCAATTTCCGATTCATCTGCTGGTGCTATTTTTCGACGTTTGAAGGACTCCGAATGAAAATCGGATGACATTGAGGTGATTGGTGCAGCGGCGGCAGTGGACCTTCTAGTCTGAACCATAAGGTTCTTCGAAATGAGGACTTTTGTTTGCTTGAGGGAGAAGCGCGATGTACAGGATATAGAACTGATATGAAATGATGCTACTATTAGCATCAGATTCAAATGTCTCGAGATTTGGAAGTCGCTGGTATAGCATGTTCCCGAATCCCGTTGAATGTACAACCACGGCATTTTCCGGTCCCAAACTGTACAACTTTCGAATTGATTTATGTGTACTACAAGTTGCTCATAAGAGGTATCCTACTATAAACGCGAAGTGTTTCAGATAAGGGGAGGCGCAACGTAAGTGGGCAGGCGGGGGCTGTTCTATGACACTATATCCTTCTAGGTAGTGGACCTGGGAACGCCGTTTCGTGTTTGCGTTCACGTTTTTAGAACATAGGGAACATATGCTCTAACAGGGGTTAGTGATTAGCGGATGTTGCCGATCCCCTTCGCAATGGTGGGGAAAATATGGAGAGTCGACCGCTCATCGAATCGGTCAACGTGAAATGATCTGATGATGGTTCTCTGTCGGATTGATCCAGATTGTAACACAAATTATTGAATAGGCAGTCTACTTACTATATTACACCTGGAAACCGAAAGAACTACAGTCTGGCTGTTGCTTCTGTTTCTAATCGGAAGGCTGCACACATACATATAATGAATGAGGTAACTGCTCACACCGGTGATCACTGAAAAACATTGTGGTCTGTCTCGGTGAGGATTTTGAGACGAGTATTTCGTGTTCCTCCAATGTCTTCCACAGCGAATGGAAAGCGTTTGCTGTTGCTCACGATAAACCTAACACCCGGATTCCTGAACATTAATCCTGCAGATTCATCCAAGATTACATCTCGTTATTTGATGACCACGAACCATGGAACTTCCCGGGGATGTCCCAGCCAAGATTTGTCTGCATCAATCCTCGAATTCGATGCCGGTATTGCCATCAATATTTCATGCTTCCGCATTCCTAACACAGGGTATATGCCATTTAATACAGGCTCCGTGGCGCACCTAAAGCGTATTTCTACATCACCTGAGTTACTTAGGTCCCCGAGAGCTCGGTATGCCCACTCATGACGCGCTTCATATCAAATTTCGGAAATGTAAGTCTCAGTGAGGTCGGATTGTTAGTGGGGATCGGTGCTTATACCTCTTCTTGAGACAAAGTAAACATGTCATGAATTTTTTGGCATGTGTATGGGATTTGACAGAATGGATTCTACTCGCCAAGACAAAGTTGGTGACGGTTGGGGTTAATGTGATGTAGCGTCCGCGGGCGGGCGGCTCGACGTTGTAGATGGGTGATTGGATCTCCGAGGGTATGTGGTGTAGCAGCATATTATGAATTCGGGTTCTCTATGTATGACGGCAGTAGTTGCGGTGCCCTATTTCACGTGGACATTAGATGGTGGTAGGTGGGACGCGAGGATGATGAATGGGCCATGTGCCAGTATTTTGCGTGAATCGCAAATAAGGAGACTGTCATGGACCTGTTGCATTTACTACGGACTATCACAGTCCAAAGCTGCACACAAAATTTGATACCTGGTATGCGTAGCGAGTACTGGGACCTCATGCAAAGAACCAGGGACATGACGGCATCATGTTCGTCGGGTTAGAAGATATAGTAGTACGAAGCTGTGCACCAGTGGTCAGGGAATAGTTGTAAGAAGATAAGACCTCGTGCCTTTACTATTTGAATATGTGTGTCGGCTGTGTGTACCAGTCTTTCATGAAGGACATCATGGTTGACTCGGATATGTAGTCCGAAGCTGGGCACAAATGTTGTTAGACGTAACCCGTTCTGTTCGTGAATGGAGCGCTGGGTGAGAACGAATAAGAACGAGTGAATAAGTAATAGGGGTGAAGTAATGAAGTGTGTCGGGGGAGATAGGTAGCTGCATATGACGAAAAGATAACCGACATAATGGAGTTGAGGATCGGGTATTTGATTCGGCGAGGCCCGAAAATTGATGAAGTTGAGGAAAATGAAGTAGTGCAATGGAGGAAGGATGATGGGAATGCCAGCAAGGTTTAGCTAGTGTCCACATAAAGAGTTATTGAATCGATGGCTTGGCTTGATAGTGACCGGTGAAGGGACTGGTCTAGAGCACTGGGAGTATCGCCGTCGAGTACGGTAGTCGGACACTCGGGACCGTTTCAAGTTAAGCCTGGCCTGGAACTTTAGGGCGTCTATTGAACAGTACTTTAGCAAAACGTTCTAGACTCCTTTTTACTATCGATACTTATTTGATCACTGCTACCATCGACGTCGACGAGCGTGGGTTTGAAGAAACCGTGAGTTTACTTGTGTTTGGGTTTTGAGATACACCTTGTGATTTGAATAAATCATTTGGTACCTACAGTCATGCACATGGACCACCACCACACCTCTGCAGCTAGTACAACAGGTCCTCCTTACTCTTCAGTTCGCTTATTTGCTTCACATCAACTACCACCACCACAAGTTCAGCTACCTGCTATAAACATCCCTCAGCGTGCATCAGCCACAACGCTCCCTTCCATGGCTGCAATGAACTCTTCGCCCTATCGCCACCCTTCTCCAGTATCATGGGGTCCATCTTCGTCATCGATCCATCGCACTTCAAATTCAAGAGAGGACGTATCAATTCATACACAACGAGAGATGAGGCAGATGAAGAGAGAACCCACTCACCAGATTCACTCAGTCCCACCACTCAAAGAACAGGAAGATACCATGCCAGCAACAAGCGATTTCGTTAAAAAGCTATACAAGTACTTCTTTTCTTCTTTCTTCACCGTCCAACTTCTCATTTCTACCCTACAGAATGTTAGAAGACCATACCTTCTCCCATGTCGTTTCATGGGGTCCACAAGGTGACTGCTTCGTCGTGAAGGTCTGTATTCTCTTTCAATTACTAGTACTTTCACCAATCTTCACTCAGGACATGAACGAATTTACAAAGTCTATCCTCCCACGCATGTTCAAGCATTCAAATTTTGCTTCCTTCGTCAGACAACTCAACAAATATGATTTTCATAAAGTGAGCCTTCCGATCTCAAACTTCTTTCTTTCAATCCTTCCCCCCCTCCACTGTCCTATTTTTATACCCATACACCTCGAGTTCTCCATTGTCCCCTCCCATCACGCGACTTCTTGCGTCCCCCCATATCGCCTATCAATGGCAATACAATCTCCTTTATCTCAGAGATCCCCATTCTATTCCACCATAGGAATCCCCCATCTCCAACTCGGCCTTTTCCGTCGATCATCGGTTCGATCCGAGGCTTCTACTACTGCCTCTACCTTGTTCAAGACATCCGACAGTTTTTCCGTGTGTTGGCGCCCTTTTCGTAATTGGTTGTTGCCACAGGGGTTCCTGGCGTGACCTGGCACAATCACGTAGGGTCCCTCTTCATCTCCGTGAAGGCAGCATCCAAACGCTATACATTCCTATGTCTGTGACAAGACGTACTTGCTACACGATCCACCACTCCACCCACTTGCCTATCTTACTTCCACTTGACCTCATTCTGTTCTCCCATACTAATCCTTCTAAATCAGGTAAAAACATCCGACGACGCCCAATTTGGCGAACACAGCTGGACATTCCGACACCCCGATTTCCATGCCGACAGACGTGATGCCCTTGAAAACATAAAACGCAAAGTTCCTGCTGCACGTAAATCTCTCCCTTCATCCTCTAACGGCGGTCTCAGCGGCGGCAGAGGAGCAAGCTCCGGTAGCCCTGTCCCAGGCGAAACTACTAACGCCGAACTGGCAACTGTGCAATCGCACATCAGCGTCCTGCAAAACTCGTACCAATCGCTCTTTTCGTCGCATGATACACTGTTAACATCACACGACACTCTACGGGGACAGGCTGATTCTTTACTTGCGTCCCATTCATCTTTACGCGCTCAGAATGATAATCTATTCGCTACGAATGAGAGTTTGAGGAATCAAATCGGGAGGGCTGAAGAGCGAATCAGGGTGTTGGAGCGTCAGTACGGGGACGTGCTTGTTGAGATGGTCAATTTTCAGAAGGGGATGGCGCAACAGGATAGTTTGATGCAGGGATTGATACAGTATTTTTTAGGGGAGGGAGGTGAGTGTCTTTGATTGTTATTTTATTTTATTTATTATGTCCCGTCCTGTTCCTTGTCTTTCCCCTCTCTTCTCTGTACCTTTGCAAAATGCGCTCCCCCGTGGGGGGAATTACCCCAGTGGAGATGAAGATCGGCGTCTGTTTGCAATGTGCTGGTCGTGGTTGCATGATCTAGACATTGATGATGAGGCCTCGATACCGAGTTTGATGGGTCCATGATGCTCAGTTGATGGGTCTACTAGGCACCGAGGACTCGGGTGCATTTTTTTGCGGGCCTAATTTTTATGCCTGGGCCCGTTCCTCTTCATCTTCTTGTATACCTGTGTTTTCCCTCGTTAATACATATTGCTTTCCCCTAGGTAAGCCCAAAGACCCGTCAGATGCTACCTCCCAAACCGCCGCCGGGTCTTCTACCACCGCTTCAGCACCCCTTGCTCCAGCATCGGTGTCTCAGTCGACCGTATCTCAACCACCACCTCAAACTCCCATCCACAGCGTATCTCAAACCTCAACAACACCCATCGCGCCTAGCATGACGCCCAGAACACACCCACCGCCCTCCCTCCTAGTATCTCACTCACAGCAGTCCATGGGCCAATCACAACCATCGCCCTTTCTCGTATCTCCTTTAAACTCAAATACATCATCCATGCCTTCCTCACATGCACGCAAACCCATGTCAATGTCCCAGCCGCCCCAATCAGCCTCCCTCCATAACCCATATTCTCTCCCTCCTCCCCACCCCCATCAATTCGTCCCAGCCCAGGAACAATTCGTTCCCGCTCAAGAACTCGGCCTTCAAGATCCAGATATGGTCGCGCGGCTGAGTCTGGTGCAGATGAACGAAATGTCGAGGCGGGCTGCGAGCGACGCAGAGTTTACGACCCCAACTTCGATGCCGAGGTCGGGTTCTGGTGCTTCGGGGTCGTCAGCGGGTGAGGAGATGCATATGCAGCGGACGAGTGGGACGCATTTGCATCGAGGGGGGCAACATCAGCAACAGCAGCAGTCGTCATCTCAAGCATCGACACATGACGGGAATGCTACGTTTCTCCTTCCCCCTGATATGAACTGGGATGCGCCGACGACGATGCATGAGGGCCTGCAAGTTTTTACGGTTGGACATCTGCTGCCCCGGAGTAGCGCGGAGGATCAAAATGGGAATTGGGTGTTCAATGCTAATCCTTCGGCGGGCGCTGTGGCTCCGCCTGCAGAAGGTGAAAGTGAAGTCGAGGGAGGGAATGACAACGACAACGACAACGACAACCTGCCATCAGAGCCCGATCCATATTCTGAAGAAGTCGTACGTCCGACGTTGTCCAATGGACGATCTTCGACTGCGCCTACGACTATCCGTGTTCGACGCTCTACGTTCGTGCCAGGGTGGGCTGTTCCCCCTAGGGTGTTGCTTGTGGATGACGATGCGGTGAGCAGGAGATTGAGCAGCAAGTTCTTGCAGGTGTTTGGATGCATGATCGATGTTGCTGTGGATGGCGTTGGAGCTGTGAATAAGATGAACCTTGAAAAATATGATTTGGTGTTAATGGCGAGTCCTCTTCTCTCTGCATATGCAGCGAACTAGTCTGATGTTTTCAATCGGGAACGCGACAGGATATTGTGATGCCCAAAATGGATGGAGTTAGCGCTACGAATCTCATACGCCAATTCGACCATATGACGCCCATCATTAGTATGACGTCTAATTCAAAGCCGAGCGAGATTATGACTTATTATTCATCTGGAATGAATGATATTTTGCCCAAGCCGTTCACAAAGGAGGGGCTGTTGGATATGTTAGAGGTGTGTTTTTGTTTTGTTTTGTAGCAAAAGCTGGGGATGTATAAATTGACGCGACTACGCAGAAACACCTTATGCATCTCAAAGTTATCCAACAAATGTCGAAAATACCACGTTCGCTCGGCGTCCCTCCTCTCTCAGACCCATCTTTTAGCGAAGCACTCGCAGTTGGGGCGTCGCAATTACAACGACATGCTTCATCATCCAATCCCAGTTCATCATCTAATTCATCCTCCTCTTCCAGTGTGCACGCGATGGGAATGTCGGGATACGACGATGATGGACGAATCAACCCTTTAGCCGGGATGGGTCTATCTGACGAGCGATACGCAGCGATTCTCAGAGATATCGTCACTCAGGAGAGTTTTTCTGGCGTAGGAGTGCCCGAGGGCTTTTCGTTCGGTCTCGCAGGTGCCTTGGGTCCTGAGATGGGAGGGGGGAAGCGGGGATTGGATGATGAGAGCGATGGGAGAGAGGGGAAAAGGGGACGGTTTGAGATCATCGAGTGAGTTTCATCAGGATGGATGCCAGTTTTTGAGACACTTTTTTTTGATGGACTCGTGCTTTTGCGAGCGTTTGGGTATGGCGCGTTCCACACCAGTACTTCTCTACGTATTCTCCTCACGTCATGATTTTCTTCATACCTCATGTTACCATGCTTTGCTTTGCACGTATGCCCATGTTCATGATATCGTATCTTACGCTTTCGTTTTCAATTTTACCCCTTCTTGTATCGAGATTTACTTTCTCTTCTCTTCTCTTCTTTTTTTTGTTCTCTGTATTACCGTTGTACTCTGTTGCCGTGTCATATCGTATACGAATTTAGCTTGTGGAGTCTATAGATCTTGACAATCCTTCGATGGGTTAATAATTTGGACGCGTCCTGGAGATATTTCATGGTCCCCAAGCCAGACAATCAAAGGATCTTTCGTATTAAAATTTTACGGTATGTTCATGGACGCTTCGTCGCTTTCCCCATGGCGTTAGCGCAAATACCCTCCGCCATTACTCTGCCACCGATCAGGAATTATCGAACCTGTCAAAAGTCCAAACAACACGATGCATCTACCTGAGTCACGTACACGCCCTAGATTTTCTATCTTACCTGGTTCAAACTAAGCTCATTCCAGAATAGTGGGTCCTTGCCTCGCGCATGAATGTAAGTTCCGATGTATGCCGTCAATGATATTTAAATTCGATTGATAAAGTTTCTTCCTGGCAAGTATCCTTCATCGAAGATCCGAGGTGAGCTGGCCCGGGGGTACTTGACTTCGAGGTCCGTTTGTTTGTTTACATTTCACGCATGGATAAGGCAGGCGCCGGTGCGTGCTTTCGGTTAGGCAGAAACGTGGCTCAGCTGGCAAGTCGTAGTTTGATCTGAGATCAATACTTATCAGGATGATATGCACCCTTTTGGCCTCTCAGATAAGACTTGCATTGCAGAGGTTACAGCAACAGATATCGCAATTGAGGGCACAGAAACAGAATCGGGGAACATAAACGAGAAACAAGAAGAGTCAGAAGATCACCAATGCAATGAGGCATCCAGGATTATGCCGAGATAACTTGCGCGTTATACAGCTTCGCATACTCTCCATCGCCTTCAATCAGCTGATTATGCGTCCCTCGCTCGACCACGGATCCATCCTTCATACATCTGCCACGAGGTATCAATTTCATCTGTGTCGCTATCACGGTGTGTTGGCTTACATGATCTGATCAGCCACCTTTACAAGATGGTGGAATCGGTGGGTAACAAGGATAATTGTCTTCCCCTGGCGGACATGGTGAAATTGGGAAAGAATGTCGCGTTCCGTGATAGCGTCCAAAGATGACGTGGCTTCATCGACTACAACTAGTCTGATGTCTGTATGGTTAATCCTCATGAAGGTTCTAGCCCTGGTGACGAGGCAGTGAAAATGAGCAATTATGTTACGGAAGTAAGAGTAAAGGACGTACGCCGCAAGTCGTTGTTTTTCACCACCTGCCACCACTTGTTAGTCAGTAAAACGTGTACACAAACCGCAAGTACCCACCTGATATTGTGACTGTCTGCTGTTTATGACGCGCCAATTCTTCCCGCAATCTCTCAGAGATGGTGCCATAAGTTCCGTCGGCCCACCCGTTCCCAATGTCATGAGTAGGCTTTACTTGTGTCTCATACCCATTCGGCAACTTTGATACCCAGTTCGTGCAACTACCCATTTTGGCTGCCTCTCGAACTTGCTCATCGGTTGCGTGAACACTGGAGGGCAACCCAAGGCAGATATTATCCTTCACCGACATGGGAAATAACAGCGGGAGCTGGGGCAAGAATGCGATTGATGCACGCACATCATCGGAATCATACGTCGACAATTCGTTGTCGTCAATTAAGATTTCCCCCTCAGTAGGATTGGAGAGACGCGCAATGAGCCTCAATAACGAAGATTTCCCGCTGCCATTGACACCGACAACAAGAACAAGCTGACCGGGAGCAATCTCCAGGGTGACATTGTCGAGAGCGTTGTGACTGTATTTCTCGTAACGAAGCGATACTTGTCTATTTATATCATTAAAGTTAGCACATCACCGCATTTGTAGCATGATAGCTCACCGAAAATTTATTTTCATTCCATCTGACGAGCTACCTTGTGAGGAATTTGGATAAGACATCGGTCCGTTGGGTATCTTGCTCTTGTAACTGATAGCGTCGTAGAGCCACTTTGCCTGAAGGCACAAGCTCTTTATTGATGTAGAATTCATTCCATATTCGCCAATGCTTAGGGAAAGCCTATTAGTGGCTTGTTGCAACAGAGCAATTGACACCACAGAAGAAGGCGAAAGACGATGAGGCAAAACCAGCGCATAGACCGCCTTGAAGTATGTCAGTACATCAGACAAGCAAGATCTTATAACTTACGAGTGGAAGGTCGAGGGTTAAATTGATCAGGAAGTCCCAGTACCACCTTCTGATCAAACCGCCTGCCCAGGGAAACGGTTCCGTTACGATTTCATCACCGAGCTGCTCAGTCAACTTTTGATATTCTGCACAACCCATTAGTGTAGGCATGCTTGAATAAACATTGTCCTACCAGAAGGGATGTTGTTGGCGGCGCCGTTGAGTATCAGTTCCTCTCGATATTGAGATGAAAATGCTAGTTCAAATAGAGATTTCATTTGCTTGAAAGGCACGTTCAGTGTATAAAATATGTATCCTACAACGTGTTTGTTTCAGAAAATAGCGATAGTTCTCAATAATCACAAACCTTGGGTACCGATAACATTGGATGGTGCCAGCCAGCGGACCAGCGGATGAGCAATGCAAAATAGAAATAATACCTCTCTTTCCGGACTGGGTTTGTGTAGTACCGCGTTCATCAAGACAGCCACTTGCGATAACAGGGCAATGGTAGTGCGAACGATGTGAAATAAACCTTGTAAGAATGACGAGCCTGGTATATCCGACGGAAAGTGGCCCCTCACGGGAAATATTGTGTAACAATCTAGGACATTATGTTAAAAACGGTATTGAGAAAGTCAACGAAGATCTATACCTTGCATCGAAGTCACATCCACACGCATACTAGCTGGACATATTGTTCGCGGTTTCAGTATGAATACAACTCTCGATGGATTGCATCACCTTCAATAAGCCGGGGAAGGAAATGTGCTTTCAACCGACTATTGATAATGTCATTCACATATGCTCTACAGGTAATTAATGATAAGCAGCCACTCGAACAAAGAAATCACATGAACGTACAGGCAGCGACTGCAAGCAGGTTCAATGATGACGCAGAAGAACCCTCCATAGATGGCAATATTAAGCGAGTCGTGGGACACGTTTTCCGAGGAATGACTCTCGACCTGCGCAAGATAAGTTTCAGATAGTTGAGTTCAGGCCCATTGCTTACAAAATTGAACATGGAACCTAAACAGAAGAGAAGTAGCGCATCGGAGATGCTAAGCCACAGCGTAGCGCAGATGTGGCCAATCAACAGCCCAGGAGCTAGAAGATATATTTCTACTAGAAGCCTTCGAGCATAGGATAAGTTGGTGAAGGAGACAAGATACTGTCCAATCCAGGCTCGAATGTCCGAGACCCAGTTGGGAGGCGACGGGCTTTCGTAGGCAACTGTATATATGCCGTAATTCAAGATTCGTAGTGGAGGGTGATGGGAAGGGGCTACATCCAGAGTACAGGTCGTTGGTTTCTTCTCGTCGGTCATGATCGAGAATAGTGGTCTCCAGGAAATACTTGATTGAGTATACTTTACAGTAGGCTGGAAAGTATTTATGTGTTGTTTGAAGGACACACACCACCTCTTGACTCGTAACACTGCTTTTATACTTCGTGGATGAGGCGGCCAATAAATGAGAATCTGCGATTCTTGGAAGCGGTCGATTTGACATGGACAGAGCGATGCTACGAAGGAGCCTACAGATCCACCACCTGTTGCGATACAATGCCAGATGCCAGACACCCCATAAAGAGAAGGGCTGTGAGGATTCCGAGGGGGGTTGTGTGTCCCAGGAGACAAAAGTCCGACACCAATAGGACTATCTGTCCGTGACCGGTGCTTCTCTAACATTCTACGTAGGCCAGTTTACCCATGTATGTGGGTACACAATAGGAAAAAATGTTTTGGCGGTCATAGTAGATGTTCCTTCGTTCATTGTGGGTTGGTAATATCCTGAATAGGCAGTTTCCTGTAGGTGACATGTGTTTGTTACAAATCGCATTGCACGAGAAAGGATCGTTGGTGACCTTATCAGCCCGAGGGGGAAAAACGACCACGAACCTCTGTTCGAATAAGTGCGGAAAATGCTCGTGGAGGAAGTTGTCAACGGCAGTTCATTTCGGTCGTTGAAACTTGGAATGCCCACATCGCGCCCACAAACAGCTTGCGTTTGTCACGATGTTTTCGGCAGGACAACGCCGCTATTATCCAGCAGCGCAGCCAAAAAAACTCGAAAGGAGCAAATCATTTCCCATATATGGCTTGAGAATAAACATGAACACTAGACATTGGCTCCTGAGCTAGCTGATGACGGTCGAGCAAAAGGATTGATGTTTGGCCCGGGCATGTAAAATTTTGGTGATCAGTGTTGTGTTAATAATGGGCAACTACAGACTGCATCCTGCAGGCAAGTGTGTAAATTGAAGACACACCGTCGGGATTGAATATTGAATATTGAATTGCCGGTCATGCTCGCACAAAACAAAGAAATCAAAATGTTGTTTGCAAGATGAGGTTCCCTTATGTAAATAATATTACGTACTAGCGACTTCATGTCCTCCGTCGAATCGGAAGCTGTTGGACACCTAAATTTGCTTCTGTGCCAAATTTGAATTGTGAAGACAGTAGCAGTGTTGTTTCATAGTACTAGTATAGTGGATTTTCTGTGTGTTTCAAAGAAGAAGAAAAAACAAGGCTTACTGTAACAGACGTCGTCAAGGAAAAGGTTCGATTCACATACATAGATAGGCCGAAAATACCTATATCTCCTTTGTGTATTTCAAACA